ATTAATTGTAACATATGTACCATACTAACTAAGATGTTGATAATAGGGGAAACTGGGTGTGGAGTATATGAGAACATTCTATACTGTCCTTGCAATTTTTTCTGTAAATCTAAAACTATTCTAAAAAATAAAATCTATGGAATTAAAAAATATATATCAGTGGGCCACAACTAGCATTTTTCCTCAATATTTTGTTGTGACGATTTTCAAATATACTACAAAGTTGAAAAGAATTTCACAGTGAATTCCCATATACTCACCACCTAAATTCTACCATTAATCTTTTACTTTATAGTCATCCATCCCTCAGTATCCGTTGGGGATTGGTTCTAGAGTTCCCACACATACCCAAATCGGTGAATGTTCAAGTTCCTTATGTAAAATGGCTTAGTGTTTGCATATAACCTACGCATATCCTTCCATATACTTTAAAATAACTTAATCTAGAAATAACTCTAAATTACTTATAATATCTAATACAATGTAAATGCTATGTAAATAGTCGCCAGTGCACGGCATATTCAAGTTTTGCTTTTAGGAACATATTGGAATTTTTTTTTCCCGAATATGTTCAATCCATGGTTGGTTGAATCTGTGGATATGGAACCCACAGATCTAGAGGGCCGACTGTACTTACTTTATCATATATCTAACCATCTATCCATCTGTCTACCCATCCATTAATTTATCTTAGTTTTTTTGGTGCATTTCAAGGTAAATTATAGGGAGTTCCCTGATGGCCTAGCGGTTAGGATTCCGGGCTTTCTCTGCCTTGGACTGGGTTTGATTCCTGGTTGGGGAACTGAGATCCTGCAAGCCAGGCAGCACAGCCCGCCCCCCCCTCCAAAAGTAAATTGTAGACATCAGTACATTTCCCCCCATGTATATCATTAACCAGAGTATTAGTTTCTTTTTATATAAAATTTACATTTGGTGAGTTTTGAGAAATCCATACATCTGTGTAATCCAAACCCCTCACAACTGCATTTTTTATAAAATGAAAGGTCATAGACGATACTGGAGTACAATACACAAAGTATGGGTGAGTATTGTTTTATGAACTTCCATTCAGATATGTATGTACCTGTATACTGGGTCACAATGTAAAATATATCACAGCGTAAAATATATCACAGTAAAACAGTGAAAATCACTGGTCTGGTTGGGGAGCTCAGAATGTAATCAAATAGTGATTATTTAGGGAGACAGGTTTTGTAAGATACAGTGATGCGTTCAAAAAGATAGCCAACTTTTTGTGGTTAGAAAGAGGGATTGGGATAGGCAGGAAAGGCTTGTCTGAGGAAGAGGTGATATACTATCGTAATGACATTGGCCAACACTTACACAGCACTCACTTCATGCCAACTGCCAAACACTGTTCTAAGAATGTTACATATACTAACTACTCCTCACAACGTAGAAGGTCAGTACTAATATTATTCCCATTGTACCTCAGACTGAGTACAGAAAGATTAAGTAATTTTCCCAGGATCACAAGGCTAATAAGTAGTAGAGCCAAACAGTCAAGCTCTTCCTAGTTCATGCTTTTGACTATTATACCTTACGAGTAGTATACATTTTTTGGTGGAAATTGGCTTTGTAACTTGGAGGATTTTATTTCAGTCATTTTCATGGGGCAAAAACAAAGTTTTTGTCTGATATTCCCTGAGTGTGTGTGTGTGGGTGTGTGTGTGTGTGTGTGTGTGTGTGTATGTGTGTGTGTGTGAATTTTACAATATTATGGTTCTAGGGTACATAGAAAGCATTTAGAGCTAGAAAGGATGTTAGCCATCATCAAATAACATTTTCATTTCCAGAAACTTCCTACTCTACTGTTTTCATGCAGTGAATTGTTTGGTATTTTCCATTCATTGTGCAGCAGCATTAGAAAAGATAATGTTGAGTTGATCATTCCCAAAGATACCTGAAGTTGATGCTTATTAAGCTTAAATGGACATTAATAACACTAATACACTGAGTGAGGCAGAGACAATGTGATAAAGACAGCATTATGAGTCAAGAGACCAGAATTCAGGACTTCACTCTGCATCTCAGATTACCAGTTTTCCCATCTACAAAACAAAGGGAGTGCACATCAGAGATGACAGATACAAGGTGCATATGTTGCCACACCCTGCTTCCTAACCCACAACTGACATTACTAATTATTCATGACATCGTCTTGCTCTGAACCTGAAAACAGCTTCAGAATCCTTCCCAACACAGTGCTCAATGCAGTTAGTCCAGTTAATCAAAGGTGGCACCCAAGTTGAAATCTATTTGTCATCTTTGGGTATGACAACCTATAAAGATTCTTCCCAGAAATACTCCCAGAAATACACCATCACAAGTATGAAAACTGTGCCCAATTGAATACTTACTTCAGTCTTTCCAGTCTGTCTTTTCTCTAAGCATTAAGTTTACATCATGTAGGGGACTGGGACGCTGATCTGTTTATATTCTACTGTGAATCTACCCACCTCCCTAGTGTTGGCCTTTAGGCATCCTAGCACCCTTTGTGTAATGTCTTCCCCAGTAAAGTTTCTTTTTTATTCTTCCTTGATTTTTCACACACATTCACACAAGTTCTTGGGTGTGGAATCTCCTAACTTCTTGGCAATCAAGACATCTTTCCCAGCCCGTGTGTTGTTGAATGCAAAGAGTATATTAGCAGAGGAAGTTCATATCTGCTCCCCGACCACTCCCAGCACTTGTCTAAGCATATTCCTTCTTATTGCCCTACCTCAGTTTCATAATTATTTGATCTCCCTCCTCCCTGATAATTAGTAACCAGGATAGGTGCTTATGTCATTCATCTTCAGTTCTCAAACATGTACCTGTCTCTGAGTCTCCACATTGTATATTTTGGTGTTGTATATTTTATAATAGAAATACTTTACAGTTTTGCTTGTCCGCTTTATTACCACTGTGTAATCCTACAGTTGTAAATTGTGTAATTGTTTATGAGCGTGCAAAAAAAAAATACTGTATTCAAGTCTTTAGAGGCCTTCAGCTACTATTTTCAAGACTTGTGTCCTAATGAGTATCAGTTCAGCACGTCCTTGTTTGTCATCCTTGCTCTTGAAGTCAGTGGGAAGGAATGCTGTGCTTGTAAGGTGGAAACCAATTTGATCCCTTGGTGTAGCATCTCAGTGGGATCATTTTACATCTCATTTTACCACTTAATGCAACCAGGGCATTTAAAGGCAAAGGTTTGGCCATGAGTACCTTTGAGACAATATTTTCTTTTACCTGGCAGTTGGAATCCAGGGTATAGGATTGTCATTTCTAACTTTCATAAAGATAGTTTTAAAATAACTTTGCTGAAAGGGAATAAAGGAAAGGATGGTAATCTTAATTTATTAGTCATCTGCCATAATTTTTACTGGCAGTAATTTGTAAGGAGGATAAAAGCAGGACTTAACACCAAAAGATTAAATAACACAGAGTATGTTGCAATGCCACCTACAGTAGTGAGTTTATCTTCCTGGAAAAGGGAGTGAATGACCACAGGCCTCCCGCTGTGGCACAGCTGTCAAATCCCTGGCTGAGCTGGTCTAGATGACATCCTGTTCTGCACACCAAATGAGCACAGCAGCCCCAGGCTTTGCCAGACTGGATCTGCCTCTAACCAGCTCTTAATGTTTGGAATTGTTATGAGATAACCGCCTGTCTGATAGGGTTTAGGAAATAAGAGATGAGCTAGGAAGGCAAAAAATAATATAAAAATATTATCTCATCATCTGTTGCAACTATTCTATAAAATTATTCCAAGTTTTAAAATTTCGCTTAAGAACTATTGTTAACCTTGATCTTTTGCACTGATTTTCAAAGATATTACAAAATGTGAATATGATATTGTAAGATTGGCCTGAGACAGCTCTGATGCTCATGATGAAAGAATTGGCCATTGGTCAATATTGTGTGCTTTTGCATTGATTATTTCAAAAACTATATTAAGTATAAGAATAACAAACATGGGATTCAATACAGCTGAGTTTGAAATAAACCCACAAGCATGAATGAGGAGTAGGGGTGTCATGGATCTGTGCATGCACTTGGCCTCTGACCTGCATCTCACCCCTGACATACAGTAATCCAGGTATGCTGGGTGCCTTAACATCTGTAAAATTCAGTTTTCTTGTCCTTAAAATGGGGATAACAGAAGTCCCTGCCACAGAAAATTGTGAGAACTAGATAATGTATGTAAATTGCTCAGTACAGAACCTTATAGGACTTGTTACAGGGCCTTGTACGAGGACTTTGACAAATAGTTGATGTTACTACTGCTTTCAACACTAAGGAAAGAAGAGCTTCACTACACATCCTGTCTCCATTGTCCATAGAATAAATTTCATATTCCTTAACATAACTTCTAAAGCCAATTTTATCTTATGCGAGCAGCTCAATTTCCTGTGACCATTCTTCTTGCCCTCTGACCTGCAACCAAAGTGAACTTCCTAGAGCTTTCATACCCCTATTTTCTGTGCCTCAGAGTCTCTCCCTCTGGGTCATTCTTCAAGATCTTGCTTAAATGCCCCTTGTCTGGGAAGCCATTCCCAACTTTCCCATGATGCTCCTTGTCCCTCCCTTTTGTGCACCACAGAAGTATACCCGTCCCAGTTATAACTCATCACCTTGTACTGCTGTTATTTGTTTACCTATCCAGTACCTTTGCTAGGTGTCATGATCTGAAGATCAGAAATCATTACTTCTTCATCCATATTCTCCTTCTGGTGCTTGACACATAGTTGGTGCCCAACAAGATTGATGAAACAGTTGAATGAATATGAGTAGAACTACTGTAGATACTCAAAAATGTTTTGGAGGATAACTAAGGAAAATTTATCTTTAGTTATTTATTAAAGTCTCATTTAGTTCATAGGAGTGAAGACCAATGTTATCAGAAGACGTTTTACTTCTGGTTCATCTACGGAACACATTTAATATGATGCTTGAGAAATTTGATCTTGCCTTTCTGTTGTTCTTTTATTCTTCAGGTTCTGGTTACAGCTACCCCTCGCCATAACTTTTGAACTATATTTGGAAAAATACTGGCCAGAAACAAAAAATGATAAAATTTTTCCTCATGGTGAATAAACAAGGGCAGACACGACTTTCTAAGTACTATGAACATGTGGAGATTAATAAGCGTACGCTTCTGGAAACAGAAGTCATAAAGAGCTGTCTCTCTCGATCCAATGAACAAGTAAGTTTCTGATTCTCTTTGATCTCTGCATTCAACTCAGCAGTGGCAGATTTATTATTACTGAGTCGCAGGGGCCATCGTTTTCTTTGAACTACATTCTTTCAATAGCTATTAGGGAAAATTAACAAATAAAGTGAAAGGAAGACTGCCGCATAGCTCTCTGTACATCCCCTTAAGGAAAATAAAAGCAAAGAAAATCAGGAAAAGCTTTGGGTTCATATTTAGGTCAGCATATTTGTCTTATTGCACTATGGAAGTGGCAGCTCAAATTTAAGCCTGCTAATAGACATACCTTTTTTTTTTGTTCATATGAATTCAGCCCTTGGAACTCTTAGGAGTGCCTATAGCAGACGGCTTTCTTTAAGCCAAAAGATGAAGGTCAGATGACCAGTATAGAGGGGAACAGTCAAGACCCACTTTGTGCCGGAGGATAATAACATGAGTCTCATGGGGAGTGCAGCTTTTTTCTGCTTACCATTTTTGTAAATTTACCGCCAACATAATACTGGAACAAGTAATTTAAAAACAAAACAAACTTGATTTGAACTTGTCTTATTATATAGATGGGAGAAATGGAAGTTAAAAAATTCATATGAAACAACAAATCTATCCATTCTGCCAAAATTGAGGTTAAATTAAATCATTAAAATAATAGTAAACAGGAATTGTAAAAACTGAGTCTACTTTTACAAAGGACTTTAGTTGGAGAATTACTTAGTCTAGGGCCTAAACTTGGAATCCTTGGAAATCACTGAGCAAACTAATGCAAATTCAGAAAGCTTATTTAAATCACCCATTAATTTTGCTAGTTCTCTTTTTCACCTCATATGTAGAAAGGCTGCTCCTGGGAACCACTGGTAAGTCATAAAATATTAAGCTACATCAGTGCTCACAAGTTACGCATTAGAACTGTGTTTCCCTTGGCTTCTAAATTGATTTTCCAGTCAGAACATCTCAGAGTCCTCTTTGAATTACTACTTTGGACTGCCATGGCACACACTGCTTTATGTAGTTGTCAGAAGAAAACAACAACTATTAAAGGACTGTGTTAATAGCCACATACTTTAAGTAAAGGTAAACAAACTGCAGAAGTATTTCTGTTTGAAACTTTCTACAGAATGTAGGCACTCTACAATTTCATAGTTTTCACTGATAGGTTACCCTCTGAAATATATGCTTTGAAATGAACATACCATTAGATATTTTTGAAGCATTCTAAATTATCTTAGATTTTAAAGGGAACCCACTGGGTTTAGCATAATCAGGTACCAAATTAACACAATCTCAGCTTCATTTTTATTTTATCCACAAAGGTGCTTGGATACTTTTTTTTTGAATGTCAGAAACTCCTGAGAGTCTTTGAAAAATGTTCCTCAGTTCTTTCAGATAGATTGTGTTTCCTTGAAAGATCTGACTGAACAGAAATAATACTGGCTCTACAGTGAACCAAAAGCTGCAGAATGGTCCTGGACTTAATACTTTTATCCTAATGTCAAATAAAAGCCTCAAATGCCTCCATTATATAGATCGTTGAATGGCTTTCCCGTGGAAGAAATGCCATAATCAAAACTTGCAGCTTTGGAAATTCCTTGGCGGTCCAGTGGTTAGGACTCTGTGCTTTCACTGCCAGGGATGTGGGTTTGATCTCTGGTTAGGGAGCTAAGATCCCACAAGCCGTGCAGCATGGCCAAAAAAAACCAAACCAAACCAAAACAGAACAAAACAACTTGCAGCTTCATTCCCAGGTACATCTGAGCACCATAGAGCAACATATCCCAGTGCAAAAAGTCATACCGTTCTTGCTCAATCACATTTGGTCAAGCACACCCAAAAATCCAAAGGAAGGGCAACACTGTACCTTCAGCCTGCTGTCCAATTCCTGTCCACCCAGTGCCTTCCTCTCCCCCTTTGTACAATGGCTTTAGGAGACAGATGAATGGGAAGGGAGTTGTTTCCTCCACTAGTCAGTAGTGGTAAGCTAGTTATTAATTCCTATAAAGCAGTATTTACAATGGGAGATTTTTGTCTAGTGTCTGCCACACAAAAGCCATCTTTAAATAATTTATAAAAAGAGCCTTGATTCTTCTCAAAAAGAAATCAAGATTTTTTCTTTCTTGCATGTGTGTATGCTCTGTATATTTGGCTCTTGAATGACTATCAGATAGTACAAACGGAATCTCTAATTGCTTCCAAAAGAGCCCAGGGGAGATGGAAAGAAGAAAATCTTCTTTATCATGTTGGCTTATTTTCACTTTCGGAGGCAGTCTAAAATGCTGATTATTTAGTAGTCTTTTCTTTGCTGGCTGAGTTCCACACAGAGCCAAGCAAAGGAGTCAGAAGAAGTACAGGTGGGAACCCATGTGGACACTCAGACATTTTTCCAAGACCACTTCTCCACCTCCCACCAGAGATGCTTCCAAGCATTCCCCTGAGTACTGTGAGGAGGCGGCCAGCAAAGACTGTGTCACATCTTAATGTTGAATATTTCTAGGAATGTGTTGACAGATACTCAAATCAGAACCTAGAAATTATGCATGCCATTTTGAAGAAATCCCTGTCAACCACAGGAATCAATGTCTAATTGTGTTTTGTCTAGTGCTCTTTCATTGAATATAAGGATTTTAAGCTGATATATCGGCAGTATGCAGCTCTCTTCATTGTGGTCGGAGTTAATGACACTGAGGTAAGATAATAGAAGAGCTTATGGAAAACACAAGAAAATTAGGAATAACAGTCTGATTTTTTTTTAAATTTATTTATTTAATTTTGGCTGCGTTGGGTCTTCACTGACACGTGCTGGCTTTTCTCTAGTTGCAGTGAGCGGGGGCTACTCTTTGTTGTGGTGCATGGGCTTCTCATTGCAGTGGCTTCTCTTGTTGCGGAGCATGGGCTCTAGGCACACGGGCTTCAGTAGTTGTGGCATGTGGGCTCAGTAGTTGTGGCTCGCAGGCCCTAGAGCACAGTCTCAGTAGTTGTGGCTCACGGACCTAGTTGCTCCGTGACATGTGGGATCTTCCCAGACCAGAGCTCAAACCCGTGTCCCCTGCATCAGCAGGCGGATTCTCGACCACTGCGCCACCAGGGAGGCCCAACAGTCTGATTTTGATTCCTCCTTAAATTGACATTTTCTTCCTCACTTACCTCCATAACAATTATCTTGACTCTTGAAGGATATTGGTTTTTATCAAGGCTGGGGAAACTGTGTGGAAGAGATAAACCAAGGATATTTTTTGGATTAGATGAGCAATTTGTGGAGAAGCACAAAACCACAGAATGCCTTCCTCGACCCTAAGCAATACCAGTTTCCTGCCCTCATTCTGTGTGGCACAGTGGGGTAGCTTAGCCAAGGGTAGAGGCCAAACAACTGTGGCATTAAACATAGGCTGACATTTCAGAAGGCAGAGCAAACTGTAAATACGTTTGTGTTATCATTACATCTCATCAGATATAGTTCACCTTTTCAGAAATGGTCAGTCCCACATCAATAGCATCTTTGGCCATGGAATCCCTGAAAGGGTATTTAAGATCTAAAATACTTTGAAATCTCAGTTGATTGTTTTTTTATCCATGAACCAAACTTTGAGATGGTTTCCCCATCTTCACAGATGGAAAAGTGATGACATGAAGACCCTGGGGGGGAAAAAAAACAAAAAAAAACCTGGCTTCAGCCAGTTGGTGATGAAGTCAGGGAGTAAACCTCAAAACTCTATAATCACCAGACACAATCTGGTTTCAATTCAGCTAGATTCATCATGGACTTTTCAAAAAATCTTAGAGGTTAAGGTTTTCTACATTTCCCCTATTGATAAGCTTCTTTTAAAGAAATAAGTCCTAGAAATATTCTGAATATTTGTCAGTAGGAAGCTGCTTTGCTCACATTATCTGTTTACCAAATGCTCTAAAACCTGGTTGCTGACTGGGCAGCTCCATGTCTGATTTCCCCAATAGGTCATATTAAAACTAACTGCATCCGGGAATTCCCTGGTGGCGCAGTGGTTAAGAATCCACTTGCCAATGCAGGGGACACGGGTTCGAGCCCTGGTCCGGAAAGATCCCACATGCCACGGAGCAACTAAGCCCGAGTGCCACAACTACTGAGCCTGCACTTTAGAGCCCGTGAGCCACAACTACTGAGCCCTCATGCCACAACTACTGAAGACCATGCACCTAGAGCCCGTGCTCCGCAACAAGAGAAGCCACCGCAATAAGAAGCCCGCGCACCACAATGAAGAGTAGCCCCCGTTCGCCGCAACTACAGAAAGCCCGCACATAGCAACAAAGACCCAATGCAGCCAAAAAATAAATAAATAATTTTTTAATAAATAAATAAATAAAAATAAAACTAACTGCACCCTTCCTTTTTGATTTCAGAATGAGATGGCAATTTATGAATTCATCCATAACTTCGTGGAAGTTTTAGACGACTACTTCAGCCGAGTGGTAAGTCTAATGACTAAAAAATGGTTTTCGTCCTTAGCTCAATTTCCCAGAAATGGGTCTATGTCAAAAATATGTGTTAATGGGCTTCCCCGGTGGTGCAGTGGTTAAGAATCCACCTGCCAATGCAGGGGACACGGGTTCGAGCCCTGGGCTGGGAAGATCCCACATGCCACGGAGCAAAGCCCGTGCGCCACAACTACTGAGCCCACGTGCCACAACTACTGAAGCCCACACGCCTAGAGCCCGTGCTCCGCAGCAAGAGAAGCCACCGCAATGAGGAGCCCCCACACCGCAACGAAGAGTAGCCCCCGCTCGCCACAACTGGAGAAAATCCACGCACAGCAACAAAGACCCAATGCAGCCAAAAATAAATTAATTAATTTATATATTTTAAAAAATGTGTTAATATAGAGCTTTAATATTTAAAAGTTAAAAATCAAATGATGCCAAATTTTCATTACCTTTCCTTCTGGCTCATCCAACGTGTTAGAAACCTACGTGTGTCTTAGATCTTTATAAAGAACCAGTTCTATAAGACTAAGAACCTCTTGTGTCTTTCTCTCAATTAAGATCTTTTCTTCTTTCTTCTGCTTCCCCTCCTAGGACACCAGGACCCTTTTAGTTTAAGAATCATTTCCATCCAAACCCTTGCTTTGAGGATCAAAACCAAGTCCCCTTAAGGAATACATGAGTTCCTTTCCAGCAGTCCTTTATTTTAACAGTTGTACTGAAATGTAATTTAATAACATACAGTTAACCCATTTAAAGTGTATAGTTTTTAGTATGTACCCAGAGTTGTGTAACCATCACCACAATGAAGTTTAAAATATTTCATCACCCCAGAAAGAAACACCATACCATTTAGCATTTCTCTCCCAATTATCCCCTCCACCTGCTCCAAGCACTAGGTAATCTTCAGTCTACTTTCTGTCTCTATAGGTTTGCCTGTTATAGACATTTTATATAAATAGAATTATATAAAGTACAATAAAATATGGTCTTTTGTGACTGGCTTTTTTTATTTAGCATAATGTTTTCAAGGTTATGCTGATCACGTTGTAACATGTATCAGTACTTCTTTTTTTATATAAATTTATTTATTTATTTATGGCTGCATTTGGTCTTTGTTGCCATGCATGGGCTTTCTTTAGTTGTGGCGAGCGGGGGCTACTCTTTGTTGTGGTGCGCAGACTTCTCATTGCGGTGGCTTCTCTTGTTGTGGAGCCACAACTCTTCGTTGTGGAGCACGGGCTCTAGGTGCACAGGTTTCACTCCGGCAGGCGGACTCTCAACCACTGCGCCACCAGGGAAGCCCTGGCAGACTTCTTTACAGGACAATCGACTAGCCTGTTTTCATTGCCTTAGTGCAGTTTGTTCTCAGAGTGTGGTTCCTGGACCAGCAGCATAATTATTACCTGGGAACTTGTTAGAAGTATAAACTCTTGGCCTACCCCAGACTACTGAATCAGAAACTCTGGGTTGAGGCACAGCAAACTATGTTTTAACAAGCCTTCCAAGTGATTCTGGTGCATGCTTAAGTTTGAGAACCACTGCCTTAATGCATGAGGCTTGCTGTCAGCTATTTCCTAATTCAGCAGTTGGAGCTGGGCAGCTGCCTGGTGGCCTGCGACATGGTAGTGCCTCTAGCTAGGAAGGGATTGGTGCCCTCCAAAGCTGAAAGAGCAAGAGGTCTGGCCATTCCAGAGACTGGCCTTGCAGGGACAGGGGGCATCGGGGCTGGTTTTAAAGTCCATCTTCTTGGGCTTCCCTGGTAGCGCGGTGGTTGAGAGCCCGCCTGCTGATGCAGGGGACACAGGTTTGTGCCCCGGTCCGGGAGGATCCCACATGCCGCGGAGCGGCTAGGCCTGTGAGCCATGGCCGCTGAGCCTGCGCGTCCGGAGCCTGTGCTCTGCTACAGGAGAGGCCACAACAGTGAGAGGCCCGCGTAACGCAAAAAAAGAAAAAAAAATCCATCTTATTGATTGCTTGGGGAGAGCACTATAGACCAGCACTTTCTGTCCAATAGAACTTTCTGCAGTGATAGAAATGTTCTCTATCTGTGCCATCCAATGTGGTAGGTGCTAAGCCACATGTACCTCTTGAATACTTGAAATGTGATTAGTGTAAATGAGGAATTGAAATTATAATTTTATTTAATTTTAATTGATTTAAATCACCACATGAGGCAGGTGGTTACCATACAGACAGCATAGCTGTAGTTCTGGCTTATCTCCTGATGACCACTTTCTCAGACAGACTGGTTGCAAGTCAGCGTCTGTGATTCAGAGCTGGCCATGGTTAGTCACTTTAAGGGAACACCTATCAAGAAGAATATAATTTCCCAAAATAGCAATGTTTTAAACCTGGGAGAATGAAGCGTGGGTACAGGAACTATCATTGCTAAGGTTTTTAAAATTATTATATTCGGTAACTAAGAATAAATAGCGGGTTGCTGAATTTTAGCTGTTATTCTAGGGAGAGAGTCAGTGACCACATAAACCACAGAAGTAAAGATTAGAATTTAATTTAAGCCAGGTGATTATACAGGACTTGGAGAGTACTAAGGGATGACCCGGTTTAGGATGACAGTAGCAAAAAGAAGAGGAGAGAGAAGAGAACCCTGGGAAAGAAAATAGAATCTGTCCCACTCATGGAGAATGCCTTGTCATCGAAGATTTATTTTTAGGTTTGTGAGTTTTAAACAGTTTTTCTGGGGCTATTTTTAATCTTAGAGTTTCCAAATCTTAAATTTGGAGATCAATCTCATGCTGTCTGGGCTGAAAGAAGCATCTTAACATCACGTTTCAAAACAGAAAGCCAGCCCAGTTAGCTTCAAAAGAGGCAGTTTTGCAAGACATGAGGGCTGTTGCTGTTGAGGAAGTGGGATCAGAGCTGTCAGTGCTGCACTTGGTAAATCTTAAGTCCTTTCAAAGATGAATTTAGCGCTTTCATCTTTTCTCCATCTATGACTTTTTCAGGACATAAATTTGTTCATTAAAAAAAATTAAAAATACATATAAGCAAAAAGAAAGGGTAGATCATCAGTGAGCATGCCATTTATTGATACATACTGTTAGGTACATTGCCTTTTAGGCTTTATGTATCTGTCTGTATCTAACTATATCTATATCTATCTACATATATACAGGGGATAATGCTGTATATACCATTTTATGACTAGCTTTTTTATTTTTTATTTATTTATTTATTTTTGGCTGTGTTGGGTCTTTGTTGCTATGCACGGGCCTTCTCTAGCTGCAGTGAGCAGCGGCTACTCTTCGTTGCGGTGCGTGGGCTTCTCATTGTGGTGGCTTCTCTTGTTGTGGAGCACAGGCTCTAGGTGCATGGGCTTCAGTAGCTGTGGCTCGTGGGCTCTAGAGCGCAGCCTCAGTAGTTGTGGTGCACGGGCTTAGTTGCTCCGCGGCATGTGGGATCTTCCTGACCAGGGATCGAGCCCGTGTCCCCTGCATTGGCAGGCAGATTCTTATCCACTGCGCCACCAGGGAAGCCCCAGACTAGCTTTTTTATTTAAAAGTATGTCGGGACTTATGTACCTATGTCATCATTTATGGATTTGCTATAATTTAAGTAGTCCCCCCTTGATAGACACTTAGCTTGTTTTCAGCAATTTGCTACTATAAATAACATTACCCTTAATATGCTGTCACACATCATTGTGCTGTTAGTTAATTGTTCCCTTAGGAGAGACTTCTAGAAGTAAAACTGATGGATTCAAACTGCGTGCACATTATTACGATTTTGTATATACCTATCAAATTACCTATGATCTGTAAAGGTTGAATTATTTTATTCCCTCTACACTCTAAAGGTGAATTGTTCTAGCCTATAAAAGTCCTCTAAACTGCAGCCTATTTCTTTTTTTTAAATCACTGTCCCAAACTCAGGGCCTTCCCGCACTCAGGCTTCTCCCTACAGAGCAGCCTCTCCCACCTGCTTTCAGGCTGGCAACCAGAGCAGCTGCTGTCTCTGCTAAGTGCATTGTGTCCCAGTGTCTCCTTCTCATCCTTGGACTCTTTTCTCTTTTCCAGAGTGAATTAGATGTATCCTTTTTCAGTGCTGTGAACCAAGTTTTCCATAGTACTTGGCAAAGAACAGGCTAGTCTTGATCAGGTAAGTGCCATGGGGCAGGAAACCAATTTAGCAGAATCCAGAATCCAGAAGGCTAATCAGCAGCAGCTCTGACAAGACAGCCAGAGGTGCAGGTGCTTTGCAGAAACCCTCCACCCTTCTTCACAAAGACGATTCTTGTATTTTTCAGACAGGGCAATGCTATGGTGGTAGCTAATAATCACTCTTATATATTAATTTAACTTTTGCATATGGAATAGACTTTTGCAGAATTTAAATAACACAGCCAGAAAGTGCTTGGGCCTCCTAGAGAGAATGGATTTCCATAGCTCTAGGTATAAATCTCCAGAAATTCCCCACATGATCAGAAGAAGGCCTTCAGGGATGATAAACTGGAAGGTTAAAGAAATTGCCTGGCTTGTATTCATCTCCTTTTATAGCAGAGGAAGCTCTCCTTTTCTTCGCTTCTTCTTTTTAAATCGAAGTATCCAAGGGCCCCAAGAACAGGCATGATTTACTTAGAATATTGCAGGCCTGCGGATTTGGGCAGGAGCCCACTGGGCTTTGTGTGAGTGCTCTGGAGGCAAGTTGTCTTTTAAGTTAATTTTTACTTCGGAAATCTGCTTACCACTTGAACGCAATAAATAGGTGTCCTTTGAGAAAACATCAGGCTTGAATCTGAAATAGTAACATTAATTATAACACATATATATTAATTATAACATGTTTATGTGTACGCACACACACACACACACACACACACACACACACACACACACACACACACACACACACACACACACACACACACACACACCACACGATACCTATGCCCAGAAACAGTATGCCAGTATATTCTGGGTAAATGGCCATTTACCTTTTACTATTGATAGAAAATGTCGTGTTGATAAACTTGATTTGCAGGCTGTATTTGAAGCCTCTTTAAATCAGTTGGGAAAATCTGAGTGCCCTCTAGTGGTGAGTGACCTAAATCTGTGGTCCTTTTGACCTAGGAGACCCAAGACCAGGCTGTATATTAGGGTGTATTTTTATTCAGCATGTCACATTCCATTTTAACTAAGTCCTTTAAAGCAATTCAAAATAAATCTCTTCCTCCTTGTACAGGGTAATAAGAAAAATGACTTTTGATTTAAGAAGTCATCAGGAAGACAGCAAAAGCTAATAGACACTTTACTGGGAATATAGATACCCAAGTTTTGCTTTCAGTGCTGCTACCAACTGTCTGTGTGTATCAGACAAGACACATAACCCCCTCATCTCAGAATGATAGAATTAAACTAGAAGAGCCTTAACACCCTCTCAGCCTTAATGTTTGATGTTGCCATGACTAGGTAACTGAGCTATCTTACACCTAGAACAGGATGGGAAAGTCTTATAAGTCTAGATATTCAGAGAAGTAAAGTGAATCAGATATAGTAGGATGTGTATTATAGTTGGACTCAGTGTGTTGATGTGTTTTATATACTGACTAGGTGTTTATTAAAAGTAGAGATGGGTTTGTCTTTGTATCCCTCTAGTGTATGGCATAGGTCCATGTAATGAACTCCAGCATTCTTGTTTGAATTTAATTTTCACACCAAAGCACACAATTTTCATCCTTACCCTGCATTTTACTTAGTTTCATTTTTGCCTTCTCTTCCTCTCTGACCAACTTATATATTCCTGTTCTTGGGAAATACTTAGGCACATCCACCTGACAGATTAGGAATTTTGCATAATTTAGAGAAGGGAACTAAATCTCTCCAGACCTGGAAGTGTATGTCTGTGCTCAAGCTGTAAATTCACGTGGCCCTCCCATGGTCTAAAAGTGCAGCAGGGGGCAGGGCAGGCAGGGCATGGGGCACCTCTCTTCTATTGAGATTCTGAAAGAGTTTCTACCCTCAGCCATCTGAAAAAGGGCAAATTACAAACCCACGACTCTATTCTGTCTCATACATAGTTTTTTTTTTTTTTTTTTTTTGGCCGGGCTGCGCAGCTTGCAGGATCTTAGTTCCCTGACCAGGGATTGAACCCAGGCCCTGGCAATGGAAGCTCGGAGTCCTAACCACTGGACCTCCAGGGAATTCCCCACAGTTCTGTTTAACTGTCACGTTGAAGAAGTCCAGGGAAAACTTTACACATCAGTTTCTTAACGGTAAGACAAGGGAGCCTTTTAGAGGTGTGGCCTCACAGACAGACCGCATCACCACCCTGGTAGCACGTAACCAGGAACCTGCCAGAGCAGCTAACATTGTGCCAGGGAAGCTTCCTTAGGCCTTGAAAGGTTGGACCAGCAGCTGATATAATTGCAACTTGGAACCGGTTCTCCCAACGCTCAGAGCACGTAACCTTTGTGTTTGCTCAGATTAAGGAAGCCTTCCACGTCCGTCTGCGTGGAACAGACATGATTTAAGGCTCAGTCTTCTTGCAGCAACAGGAAGGTGGGAGTCCAAACCTTATGGAACTCCCAAGAAGCCCTTTACTTGCAGTCTTTCTCCAGAGACTTTACCGCCCTGAAGCCTTTTAAGAAGGAAGCAGTTTTCCAGAGCCTGTAGGGTTAGACATTGGGAAATTAAATGCATTGTTTACATTTTTCCCTAGTGTGGGCTTGTTCTACTTCTAAGAAGACTAACGTCACAGAGCAAGGCAGATGGGTTATTAAAAAGAAACGACATAAGCTCAGGAAATCAGGACAGAAATTCTGGTTTGTTGAAAACCCTTCTACTAAGTGGAAACTCTGTTGCAGAGTGGTCTCAAGTGGGGCGGCCGGTACCCCGGGGACTAAGCACACCAGGACCTAAACCGTTCACGTGCGCTGAAGCAGCCCTGATACCCTCTTTACATTCCACTCCACCCGCGGGGCTGAAATGTTGCCTGAGGACTTCTGTCGGGAAAGTTTGCCCTTCCTCATACTTTGGTCGACTTATTTAAGACTTCAAATTCCACGAATTAAGATAGTTTTTAGGAACCAACTGATGAGCTTCTCAATATGTGCTCAGCTCCAGAGCCCCAGGTTTGCTGAATTCTCCAGACAATTCATAATTCAAAGGCGAATCTGATCCCCTTCTGCTAAACAGTCAGAGGATGGCACCCATGAACAGTGCTGTGTAGAAGTCCAGTTCCTCCCCACTTCAGTGCACACCTAATGTGTGTGAAGGCACCAAAACCCTTGACACCCCTTTTGGTATTTGGTGGCCTTAAAGAGGCTTAAAGACTTGGTTAATTTTGGCTAGAATGGAATGCAGCAGTACTGCCTTCAGACCCAGACAACCAGGGTCCCCTTCCTGGGCCCTGTGCTTTAGAGGACCCTACTCTAGCTCTCCTTCAGCAGCACCCCTCTCCATGGGGTAAGGATGCTTACCCAGAGCTGGCAGGTCCCCCCATCCACTCCTTGACCACCCTCCAGCACCTGGGTCCCCAGAATTTAGCGGGTACCTGGTCATCCCAGTGCCTGCTGCCAGGGCCTCTGCAGGTCTCTTTACCACCCCAGGACTGGAGGCAGTAATAATAGAGAGGCTGGGATGGTAAAGTGGGTATTCCACATGCATGCCTGGGAGGAAAAGCCAGGAACAAGCTGCGGTTCCTATTTATATTCTTGTGTCCCCTCCCTGACAAGCATAGGATAGCTCTAGAGTCCAGAATGTTTTCTTCATTCAAAAATATCTTTAAAAAAAATCTTTAGAACACTCATGTTTTTACTTTGTAAGTCCTTAAAGTCCAAAAGCTTGAGCAATTAATTCTAGAGCCTAAAAGCTCATATGCGTAATGTGAAACGTGCTCTCTTTACTGCAGCTGAGGGTGGGCGAGTAGGAAGGGCCTCCATCCTCTTGCACTCTCTATGACTCAGCTAGTTATCTACCAGGGTGTGCCCTGGAGGACTAAAAGCACCCAGCCAACAGTAAGAGCACCGCTAAGATTTGCAGTCAGGCCCTGATCAGGCCCCAGGCCCAGTAGGGGGACATCTATCTGTCGTTCCTTCATTACTTTCCTAAAATCCCAAACGCCTTTAGAGGTCCAGAAACCAGAACAGGGTTTCTCCAAATAGGAGATAATTTCAGCCTGACTTAGTGAGAAATCACAAAAGTAACTTGTTCAACTAGGGGCTATGGAAATACTGGCAAGAAGACCAAAGAAATTCTCTAGGGAAACCATCCAACACTGAAGTGGCAGCTTCTAAAGGAACTGAAATTTTCTCGATGGTCTCTCAGAAAGTTAAAATAATTGTTATTACAAAAGGATTTCTTTTGAGGTATGCTGGAACGTGTGACTACACCAGGAATAGCTTGATCATATCAGAAAGGAGTAAACTAGCTTTCCTCTCTGTGAAGGTTACTTTTGGAGTGATAGGGTTTGACTGCTTTGGAGTTGGAAGAAAACTACACAATCACCAAGTTAAAATCTCACTTTTTAGACAGAGAGGCTGAGGCTCAGAGTCCGATACCAGTTCTGTCCCAGAGTAGCTCTATGGATTGATTGTTCCAAACTACAGAGCTACTTTGGCACAGAGCTGGTACTGGTTTCCAGGTTTCCAGAGCCTTTGATTCTAGGGCTACAAACGTGATTTAAGATTAAATTTGACACACTTTTTGAAAATTCATAATCATCTGGAGTAGACTGTAGCAAATTAGTCTCTAAGAAAACATTTATAAAGTGCCTGGCACCATATGCTGTCTTGGTATTTCCTGAATTAGGGAAGAAGTTTTAGAGAAACCCTGGTCTTCGGTTGGAGGCATCATAAATAATGAAAAATTCTGAAGCGAATGCCTGAATGTCTTGATGAGAGCATGCTTTCCAAAAGTGACGTTCATGTCAGAGATTTCTAAACATCTTCTTTTCCTTTTGAAAATATGTCCATTGAAGCAGGGCTGCAAGAGAAGAGAGCAGGCCCCTGGGCCCAAGGGAATGTGTGCAGCTGGTCCAGTCTTTGGGAAGAGCAGGCAAGGAGAGGTAAGGGGGCCACAGCCCGCTCCAG